CTTTAAAAGCTGCAGCATATAAAGTGAAGTCCTCAAAAGTCTGCAACGAGCCAAGTCTGATTTTGAAATGTGAATGGTCAAAGCCCATGATGATGATGAAAACCTGGGAACATGTAATGCTGCTCTGTCCTCTGGAGTGCTCCATTTCCCACATCTGCACCTGGATCAGAGCAGGAGAAGGACTTTTGCCAGCCCAGCTCAGGAGCACTCTCAGCTTGTGGTAGAAGTCAGTGCTTCAGTGTGCAATGTCCCTGCACAGTGTGTGTCTGTGCCTGTGCTTATGCTCCTGTGAGGCAAATCAACGAATTAGAGACTCCATATTCTTCCTTGTGTTTGGTTATTCTGCTGGGGGAAATCCCCCAGGAGTCTGCAGGACACCTGGAATGACAGGAAGCAGGCAGCTGTGAGGCTGAAGGAGCTCCAAAGCTGGTTAGTGGGGGCAGATCACGTACCACCCATGGCCTGGCACGTCGGGGGCCACAGGCAGAGCCTGCTGGCAGACCTGGGGCTGCAGCCCAGGGATGTGCTCTTGTGCAAATCCTGGCCTAAATTGGTTTGTGATTCTTTTTTTTTTTTCCTTAAAGACTGAATTCTTGGAGCTGTTCCATTTGCCATACACAGTGTTCGAAGAAAGGTATTATACAGGAGAACCAAAGATTTCCTGAAGTTATGAATGCAGAATCACTGCAATGGCATCGTAAATGGGTAAATGATGTGATTGATCAGTTAGGAAGGCAAACTATGAAATTATGTAGATCTCTAGTTTTGGGCTTTCTAGAGCATGTAAGGCAATATATGATTTTCTTGAAGAGTGTACTCTGGTGTTACTTATGCAGAGAGAAGAACAGTCGTGTATGGAGCTGCAAGTACCTCAGCTTTTGCTGTAGTTAGTAGACACAGGTGTTTTCAGCCCCAGTCAGAGGAACCTGGGGAATGCTGCCTACAGGACAGGCAGCTGTGTTTGCTGCCTGCAGAGACGTCTCACAGTTGCAGGCACTGAGGTTCAACCAAATCTCTCCTTCAGTTCTACTCCAGAAACTGTTTCTGCTGGTTTCCTTTCCACGGTGTCTCTCACTAAAAAGCAAACAGCTACACTGCAAAGTGATTTCCTGAGTCTGGATGCACAGAACCAATGGATGTAACCTTATTCTACTTCGAAAGCTGAGGCCATTTAGCCTGCAATGTTCTTTTAAGTCAGACTGGCACTTGTAGCACAGGGCTGAAAAAGGCAAACAAGAGCCCTTCTCCCCAGCAAAGAAAGCCTGCAACCTTTGACTCTCTGGTGCACTTGCTGGGCCAGCCTGGGCACTCCATGGGCAGCAAGACCTTTCTATCCTGGACCCTTTTGTCTGGCAGGAATCTTTGTCTGTCTGCCATTTTGGCAGGCGAAGTGGCAGATGCAGCACAGGGCTGAAAAAAGCAAACAACAGCCCTTCTCCCCAGCAAAGAAAACCTGCAACCTTTGGCTCTCTGGTGCACTTGCTGGGCCAGACC